TCTGGCCTTGGGACCAACTGCTCCCTGAGATGTCCCTTTATTATTTCCTTTGGGCGTTAGTCTTCTGGTGTTCAGTAGGTACATCCAAGCCGTCAGCTCTGTCCCCTGCAGACACAAAGGTTTCAAGGTCTGTTGTTAGTTTTGCCGTTGGAGACACCTTGTCATACCAGCTGGTTCCCTGGATCTTTTTAGTTCGGTGGGGACACTTTTTCTTTTTCTTTTTTACACTAGGATTTGGTGCAGTTGCAGCCAGGGCAGTTATTCCCCTTTGAAATATTGGTGAATATCCTTATTATCAAATACAGTAAGAATAGGGTCTGTCTATCATGAAAGTGGCCATTTTCAAATACTGAAGACAAACCGCATATCTGCCTTTGTTTTAAATCGTACATCTTTTGAGTTAACTGGGGGGATGGAAAATAGTACATTTTGATGGCAAAATCCAGTAGGGTGGGTCACTTTGAGTATTCCAATTAGACTATCAAATGTAGAAAAGGGGTGGGGGGGTGGAGAAGAAGAATCATTTAAAAGTTTGGGCTGCTGGTCAGTTTTCTGTTTGAAGTTATGGTTCATTTTTGGTGCATATTGTGTCACTTCTGACTCTTGCTCTCCTGGCCCTGCGGACCTCACCTCATCTACCTATTTTGCCATCTCTCGAGACAGTGTTGATGTTTTGATTCCTGAAAATCTTTTCAGTAACACAGACTGGCATACATGGATGCAGCATAGATTATTTTAAATGGCTTTTAAGATCCCTTCTTTAGCATGGGTCTAGTATCCAACTTTTAAAAAAAAAAAGTTTGCTTCATATTCGTATGGTAATAAATACAATAGTATTTCAAATAGCTTTACCCATCTTGAAAAATATTTCAGAGCATGGAATAATGTGTGATTCGATAGGAGTAAGAATGCACTGGCTTTGGTGAACTCAATGTTGATCAAAGAAGCATGACTAACATCTTGTCTACATTACGGGGAGAGATCGATCTAAGTTACGCAACTTCAGCTACATGACTAACGTAGCTGAAGTCGACTAACTTAGATCTACTTACTGCGGGGTCCACACTATGCGATGTCAATGGGAGAGTGATCGGCGGTCATCGAACCCCCGGTAAGTGTAGACAAGCCTTAACTTTTCTTTAGCAGTATGTTGAGTGGTGAAGTTGGTCAGTTTCTTCTCTCTCCAAATACCTTTAGTTCAGCTTTGTAACCAATAAGAAAATTGAATATCCTAGTTGTAAGCAATCCAATTAGCCTATGCTCAGAATAGGAACATAGGAATTGCCATAGAACAACTGGTTTGGCGATCAGATCGAGGAAATGTAGATCTTCTGTGACTCCGTTAATAATGTGTTTAATTGGCCGCCTTTCTGAGTAAAAAAATTTTTTTACGTTGATGAGCCCAAATGCCTTTGGGAGCAAGGAAGTGGAGCCAGCACCATGAGAACTGCCAGCAGACAATTAGAAAGTGGTCCATGGTCCTCAGCCAACTTTTTCTCAAGTGGTCTCAACTTCCCAAGGTGTGATTATGCTTGTCCTTGCTACCAGCTTTTGGGCCACCGTGTCCCCCTTTTAGTAGATACATCTTATATGCAACTATGTCAAGAGCACACACAGTATATGGGCAGTTCTTCCCCATGTCTCCAGGCTATCTGCTGATTCAGTTACTGTGTTTCTAACCTTTCTGTTTGCTCACTTTACTCTTCTTTGCTGTCTGTTTCTTTTTTATACTCCTCCTTTTTCCTGTCCATTTTTATTAGTTTTTGCTCTCTTGGTTTTTTCTCTCCCTTTCCCTTGTTCCCATTGCCTATTCCATCAATGACCAGAAAGCTACATGCTGCTTGTGATGGAGGTGAATATTGGCGGCTTTCATGTGGCCGAGACGCCTGTTCTCACAACTGAGCTGTGTGTTGCGAGGGGCGACACACACACATTGGACCAGCAAGCTGCTTTCTGAGCCTGCACTCCCCACCCATGAGCTGTTATCTCTTGGCAGCTTTATGAGGGCCCATCACAGGGCCAGAGAGGCTGCCTACTTCTTTACCCCTAGCACCATGTTTGCAGTAAGAAATTGGTCCTGCTTTAATTGCTCCGTTGCTCCTGTCATATGGCACCTTACCCAAGTCGGGAAACCTAACATAATCCATAAGTGTTGCTAAACAGAATGACTACAGTCTGTTCAAACAACCTAACTCTGAGACTAGGAGTATTGTGTTCTTGATACTCCTAGCTGCCTTGAACTTTGAGAAACAGAAATCATCAGAGAGCTTAGTGCCCTCCGGAGTGGAGTGCTTGACTGTTACAAAGTTAATGTGAGGAAGTGTTGCTCTTAGATATAAAGTTTCGAGAGAATTTTTTGTTAAGTCTGGCATTACATTCCCACAGTTTCTGTCTGCTCAAATGCCTTGGTGGTGGTGGTCAACTGCATTACAGTGGATGGGAATTATTCAGGAAACCCTTTTTCTTTGAGCTGAGACAGGAAATTACATATATTTGGGGATTCAGACCTGGATGTCAGTAGTCACAGTTCTCAATCCTGCCAGCACAGCTAACATCATCTCCTGAAGGCAGCAAGAGTGTGGGCAGTTAACCCCCTCTCGCCTGCATTTAGCCATGGTACCAACTGTGCTGGTTACAGACCATTCATTTAAAAAGCACCAAAAGAAGAAAAAAGTCTGTTATGTACACTTGATTTGTGCTACAAGAATTCTTACTTTTAACTAAAATTAGTTGATTTCCAGCTGTCTGTTTTTAGTAAAAACAACAAGGAGTCTGGTGGCACCTTAAAGACTAACAGATTTATTTGGGCATAAGCTTTCGTGGGTAAAAACCTCACTTCTAATTATTTATATCGCCTGGGGACCCCAAACAGGTTGTTATAGTGCCTGGGTCCCCAACCAGAATTGGGGCCATACTGTTTTAGCTGTTGCACAAATATATAATGAGAGGCTGTGTCCCTTCCCCAAAGCGCTTAGTCAAAGCAGACAGAGCAGATGAAAGGTGGGAGAAAGGAAATAGGTAGTATCCCCATTTTGCAGATGGGTAATTTAGGCACAAGGATGAAGTGAATTGTCCGAGCTCACCCAGGCAGTCGGCAGCAGATTTGGGAATTAAACCCAGATCTGAATCCCAGACCAGTGTCTCAGCTACAAGACTGCCATCTCCTGTTCAAAGTGACTCATGGCACAGCTATATCTTGACTTGTTTATTTTTTTCTCTCTCAATGACATTTTCTATGCGGCACATTTCCTGACTGGTTTCAGATTAATTTCAGATTTAGTCATGCAAAAACTTTGGATCAAGTTATGCCTGATGAAAGTTGGGCTGCTTTAATATCTGTCCCAATATCTCCTTTTTGTGTGGAAAAGCCAACTCACCACCTTACTTGAATGTAAGGAAGCATTTGTTCTAAACTCAGATTGTCAGGTCAAAGTCTAGCTATTAATTTTGGTTTTTTTTCATCCATTCCTTACTATAATAACTTTGTGGCATAGCCAGCGTAGTTTAAATTGCCTTAGAGCCCTCAAACAGAAAACAGCTTTTCTCTGGTGGACACGGTGGGCCCATCAATTCAAAGAATAGACAGTCACAATCGATTTGAATGCTGTTCCCAGAGACCTCTTGGCACTGTAACATCTTAACAGAAAGAACCTTTAAAAGCGTCACGTGTTTACGTGTGCCATATTATTTTTGGTGTGACTCCATTGAAGTAGAGTTCAGTAATCCTGACCCCACTGATACGTTCTTTTCTTTAGGAGTGGAGTGTAGCAAATTAGCTTAATGAGTAAATAAGCTCCCTTGCTTTACCTAAAGTGAAAATACACTAAGGCAGAGATTACGTGTATTAGCGTACTTTGGATGGAGCTGTGTTTAAACACACAAACTCTTCAAGTACTTAGTTCTGGTTATTATACTGTGAAGTTTGGGTCAGTTAGAACAATGTTCTCCCTCTGAATAAATTCTGCAGATGACTTTTCCACTGCTGCTCGTGCTCTGTAACTGTAATAGCTGTGCATAATGCCATGTTCAGACACACAATGCTGTGTGACTCTTTCAAGAAACAGAAACTTTTGTGACAAACCTTCAGCTGTCAAAGTAGACATAAATTTTGAAGCTGATGTGCATTAGAAGGTGGTTTGGTTTTTTGTTTTGGTTTGTTTTTTTTAAGTGGATACATTGGCTAGGTTTTTATTCTTTAGCCTGTGGTGATGGTGATAATGATGGAATACAGACTGCTAAATTCATGCATTACAATATCCTGACACCTGTTGATAAATTACCACCTTTGAGCCAGTCTTCATGGGGAACATTTTTGAAAAACTTGATCAATGTAACTGTGTCAATGCAACTAAAGCAGGATACACCTCTCCCACAGATGCACTGCACCAGTCCACGACAGGGCTTACAAAGGCACAACTTAATCTGGTTAATTGCCAAAGTAACCTCACTTTACTTCAGTGTAGTGCAGCTCCATTAGCAGTTTGCACAGTGTAGCTACACAGACCTGGTTACACCAGTGAAAATGTTCCTAAGGTAGACAGTTCCTTTGTCTGACCAATAGCAAACACTGAAATTCTGGTTGTTGTATCTTTGAGACATTTCTTGGTAGCTTTTAACTAGCATCTGGTGACAGCTATTTTAAGATAGTACAAGACTTTCAAAATGTAGTAGGAATTTTAGGAATGTGTGCACTTTAGTGCCCTGTGGTAAATGTAGGCTTAAATTACTGGTTTCACAGTCAGGGGTGTTTCAAAAAAAAGGATTTTCCGTTGCATTGTAAAATACCTTCCTACTAATACTGGTAGAAATATAGTGGTAAAAGTCATACCTGGGACCCATCATTTCTGTTCCAAATACCAGCCAGTGACAGTTACGGGCTACGCTATTTTTTTCCCCTTTACAGCAAAACAGAAAGCATCTCTTCTTTCATGGACCACATTTGCAATTCTCTGCTTAATCTTCCCTGCCTTAATTTTTTTTTCTATTTTTTCCTTCCCTAGGTCCACAGCAAAGATAAAAAATATGTATGCAAAGTGTGCAACAGAGTGTTCATGTCTGCCGCCAGCGTGGGAATTAAGCATGGTTCCCGACGCCATGGAGTTTGTGTTGATTGCTCTGGTCGAGGCATAACAGGTCACTTAGATCAGAATGGAGGAGAAGGATCTCCAGATGAATTGTATCCTGGTGAAGGCCAGTATATGGAGGATCCAGATGACATGAAGGTGGAGGGAGATGAAGAGATGGGGGATGATGATGATATAAAATGGAAAGATGATGTAGGAATTTCACAAGATGATGTGATTCTAGAAGATGACAAAGAAGATGTCGACTCTCCACAGGAGCAAGAGAACTCTGGAGAGAATGACAAGGATTTTACTTGGATTTCTTAGGGAAACGGGGAAGGTTTTGTTTGTAGGGGGAGGGAGGGAAGACAGAGTGTGCTGGGAAAAACTAAGTAGCCTTGTTGTCGTCCATGTGTGCAAAAGAGTTGTTTGTGGGTTTTTTTTAAACAAACAAGTCCTTTATCTGTACCATTCAGATACTGTATTAGTAAGTGTCACTTTTAGTGGCGTCAGTTACATCCCTTCCCCTTCTCCCCCATGGAAAAATAGGATTGTCTGTCTTTGCCTCTCTGTGGGAGCAAATCAGATTGCATGCAAGTGACTTAAAGTTTCTGAAGATGTGAGCACTGTGACGGGGAGAGACTAGGAGACAGTGTAAAGCATGTGTTCCTTTTATAAACCTTCCCCACCCTGAATTAAATACCAGGGAGGTTTTGTGTCCCAAACCATTTTTTTTTAAAGTTTTGTTTGTTCTAAATTCACAGCAGCAGTGGACTTACTTACAGACTAGTATCATGTAAATAAACTGACCTGTGTGTTTGAGGGCTTCTCCATATAACCCAAGCCTTTCACAAAGAATTAATTTAAATATTTATTTTTTTTAATTTTTTTTTTTTTTTTTTTTTTTTTTAAATGGAGCCTGTTAGATCAAACAGCAATTCAGGCTGCAGCCTTAAGAGCCACTTTCATAACATGGGGTCTTAACTCCCAAATAGTCCATCAGGTTAAAGATCATGAAATTACTTGGGCCCACTGGCATCTTAACAGTATCCAGTTTTCCAACCTTGTTTAGTTACGTTATGTGAAATGAGTGTTGGTGTTTCCATAAGATTTCTTTTGCTATAAAAGACGCATATAGTTTAGTACCCAGTTGCTTGGTTTACATGAAAGTTGTCACCTTTCTCCCTTAGGTGTCAACTAACTGCCTTTTTCATATTTACGTGTAAATTTTAGTAAATATAAGTCATTTAGCAAAATGAATTACAAATTGTGATAACTCAAGAAACTAGGGGAGAAATCCTGGTTCTGAAGTCAAGATTTCTCCCAAGTTAGATTATTATTCATCCTTGCCAAGCTAAAACATTCCTACTTAATTTGTAGGTGTAGTCCGGATGTTTAATTGACTAAGTAAAATTTCCTTTGTTTCAGCCGGGTTGGTTCCAGGTAAGTAAACCTTCTCTTTTAGAGAACCAGATTTCTCCACTAGAGCATCTCCTCTTTCAGTAGCGTTTACATGGGTGTGTTCCGAATAGTTCAGTTCCTATTGGCCATTGCTGCCTTCCTATGACAATGTTTAAATAAAAAACTCAGTGAAAGTGTCCTGTTCAGAATAAAAGCTTCTGCTGTACCTTTCACCTGTATGCTTTTGGTGCTTAAAAAAAAAAGCTGAAGACCTCACTGTTTTCTTGCTCTGGAGCAGACTTTTATATAACCTGTATGAATATGGTGATCTTGAAACCTGCCACAAATAAGCAACCAGTTAAATCTAGGAAGCCAAATGATTAAAAGGTGCTATTTTCCCCCCAATTGTGGGAAAGGCAATTTCTTGTGGGAAAAGCATATAAGTCCTTGCAGTTTAATTTTAAAAAATGGAAAGCGTGGTTCTACCCAGGGAGTAAAATCAAAGCAGATTTTACTGTACAAAATCCCAGTAATCAAATCTTTAGGTTATTCGGTGCCAGGAATCTCTTCCCAGTGAAGTGTGATCATGCAGGAACCTACTCACCTGGACCTTTAGGCGTTGCTCTAGTTGAAGGGTCATATCACCATTGTGATGTATTTTATTCCTTTCTCTGCAATTGTCTTCAGTTTCTTGGGGGGGGGGGGAAATCTCACCAATTTTCCTATGCATGTTTTCCTCCTCCCCAAATTTTGGGACTCCACTCACAGTGGTTTATACTTTCACATTGTGCAAAAGCACCAGAATTCTTGCTGTTCAAGTTTGGTACTTGTCAGTAATTTGGAAACATGTTTTTCTAAGCCAATCCATGTTCTTAAATCTACTGTTAGCTCGAAGCAAAGCTCTGTCATCACTTGTCTACACTGCTGCTAATATTTAGGATTGAGAAAGTTACCCGACAAAAATGGACAACCCGATTCTTTAAATATTCAAGGAATAGTGGGGGAGGGTCATATAAAACCATTTTTATGAAACTGTAAAAAGCTGTTTTTGCATTTTAGCGTGTTGTAAAGCCCTATAACTATGTTTAAAAAAAACCCCAATATTTTAAGATTGGACCTTTATATCCCTTTTTCTAAGTGCAAAAGAAATCAGCAGCTGTGTCCACTCTGTGTTGATCATAAAACCAGGCCATTGTTTCATGAACTTGACGGCTTTCACCTCTCAGATATGCAGGCTGTGGATTTATTGCCATTTATTCTGTAAATATTAAGTTTTTTCCCTAAACTTCCAGCAATCACTTGTTACATGTAGACAAATACATACAGTACTTTAAAGATACCTGTAGCTTGGCTTTTTATATATTAAATCTATTTAAAAATGGAGAAAGGAGAAAAAACCCAAAACCACAAACCTTCAGTTTCTACATTCCACTTTTTGTCCACCCTGACTCCACTATACAAATTCACTATCTTCAGCTAGTATGTTTTAGGGAGAAACGAAAGGTATTGATCCTGAGTTGACTTTTTCCCTTGTCCCTGCCCCCCTTTTGGGCAAACTTGATTTTGTATGAATATTTTGGGGTGCTTAGCTTTATTTCGTGTTTTATTTGGAAATATTTTATATTGCCTTTCTCTTTTCCTTTTTTTTTTTTTTTTAAATGGTGGACAATAAGCCAAATGGCTTTCATAAATGTTTTCTACTAGTGCCACTTCTGTGCTCTTCAAACTGAGGATGCAAAAAAACAACAACAAAACCCACAAAAATCTAACTTGTTATAATGTTAAAATTATAATATGGCACATGCGTCTATATTACTAATTTACACTAAATAAATATATATACCAAATAAATCATTCTAATATGTGATGTATACTTTGAAGTGCTTTGTTTTTGATGGAGGTGTGCAGATTTGGAAATTAAAAACCTTTCAGGAATTTCTTTTTAAACTTTCACATCCTATAGGGGAGAGACATGGGATTTTATTTTTGAAAGACAGTGAGTTTTAAAACGGGGATCCTTTCTCTCAAATGGAAAGGGAGGCTCTCGATACAACTTTACCAGTTACTTCACTTCTGTGTTCTAATCTGAAATCTGAAGCTGCACTGTGTTTAACTGCAGGGATAATCTCTGTAAAAATGAAAAGAAATCTGATTTGAAAACAGGAAATTTAAGCATGGAAAGAGACCAGCAATTTCCAGGTCCATCCCCAGGCCCAATCCCACAAAGACGTAAGCAAATGCACAACTTTGTGCAGGTCTTTGACTTTCTAAATTTGGGGCGCCCGTTTAGAGTTTGCCAACCATTGCTCATGTTTTTCTGTGTCCAGATACTTGTGTAATTTGCTGCCTATATAAATTTCTAGCTTTGCTGTTCTGTGTAAAGAAATTCTGCTTAAATGTTGTTCTATCCAACACGAGCTCAAATAATCTTTAGCATCCGCTCTTCTATTTCCCTTCAGGAATTGGTGTATTTTACTGAGGTTCCCTTTTTAAAATTCATTTTCTTTAAAAAAAATAAAATAAAATGCAGATTTAGTTTCAGAAAACAACTCCCTTAAAAATGAAAAATTAAGACATTTGATCTCAGTGGAAATGTGGGTAATTTTTAAAAATGTTTTATATGTAATGTGTAATCACTGTACCCTGAATCTCTTTCTTATTCTCATCTTTTTGATATATAAAATGGGGCCAGGACTAAAAAGAGCATCTCAAATGCAGCTTTGCTAATTTCTCATGCAGTTCAATGATTGAATGCATTTCTTCAGTTTTATAGACACTATCTATGCAGCTCCGAATAAATACCTAAAGCATGCTAAATGATGCGGTAGGTTAGACCTTTGTACAATACTGCATTAAAAGCTTTCTTGAACAATACAGGCAACTTAGGTTCTTGGCTTCTCCTTCCTGTCAACTTTTTGTTTCCTTCAAAAAGTCTTTTTAAAAAATCCTAATTTATATATATTTGAGTATTGTTTCTTTATATATTAAAGTTTAAGGTCACCATAAAACCTCACAAAGATACAGAATGATTTTGCAGGGAGATGAGAAGGGGGACATGTCTCATGAAGGTTTTCAAAGTGACTGGTTCTTTTTAAAAACAAATAGTGTTTGGACTATTAAAGGAATATTTTCTTATCAAACGGAAACCTACTTTAGCATTAGGTCTCATTTTATGTTTTGTATCTTGAATTATGCCTTTAAATGTTCTGCAACTCCAAAGTGAAAATCGCATTCAGTTGACTTTTTATATATATATGTATGTTTGGGAATTTATTACTCTGGGTTATGTGTCAAACTCTTGTTCCTGACAAAGTTATATATTTTGACTCTCAATTTGCAGTAGAGCATTGGGTCAAACACTGCCATCTTTGACTAGGCACCTCTGTGAAAAAGATCCACCTTAATGCTTCCAATTTTGCACATCATCCTTTAAAAAAAAAAAAAAAAAAACTCCAAGAAAATGCAAAAACTGGAATTTTTTGCAATATTATGAAAGATAATCTTATTTTAGCTCATTCTGTGACATGTGCAACTCTTAAGAAAGCCATACTTAATGGTTCTTTTTATTTTTAGATTCTATATTGTGTTTTGGATTTCTGCCTTTTTTAGAATTTCTGCATAGTAAGAGTGCTGTGTGTATGCTTTCATATATATTTATTTTTCAACATGCTTTAAACCTGTCTACAAAAATAAAACTAAAAATAACAAAAAAACACCAAGACAGTGTTTGAAGATTGTTGACTATTTTTTTTGCTGGGAATATTCTATATTATACTGACTTTATATTAATTATTATAAACCTGTGTTTGTATTGGAGATGTGTTTAATATTTTGGGGAGGTGGGGAGATTTTAGTAATCAGAAGTCAGTGGGAGAACATGACTGTGTGTTGTACTGATTTTCTGTAAATGTAGTTCAGGTAAATATTACCTTATTTTCTAGTTGATCTCACAGTTTCTTGTCTGCCTAGGCATGCCAAAGGTATGCCTACTGATTATGATTACTTTATGTGATGGGACTAGCTTAGACATACTTGCAAAAATCAATCAGTTTCAATAAATTGGGAAATTGCTGCTAAAACACCTTGTCTTGGTTTTTTCACACACTGATTGAGACGTGATAGACATCCAAGTGTCCCATAATATCACTTAAGAGAGTTTGGTTCAGAATCTTGAATGGCCTTTTCCCCCATTAAATTGTCTCCACAGAGACACCCTGTCGAAGCCCATCTGAGCATCAAAACTATTCATTTTGGAATAAGAGGGGACCATGTTAAGTCCAGCTCATGCAGGGAGATTTATAAAGAAGCATGAATCCCTTCTTCCTCGAGCTCCCTTTTTCCTATCAGTGGATCTGGAGTCCGACTGAGTTGCTCTGGCTTGAAGTTTTCTTTAACATTTCTACGTTTTGATGGACATTTTCCTTAGCTTAGATTTTCTTACTAAACTGAAAACCATTTTTCCTCAGGCCTCATTGACAAATTGTAATAGAAATTCCAGGGGTAACCCAACTCATCTCCCCACTGATGTAGGAACATGTTTCCAGCTGTACCTTTATGACTGTTTGACAAGTCTAGTTTTAAATGTCCCAAATGATGGGGCTTCCCTTCACTAGGAAGCCATTCCACCTCTTGGGAAGTTTTCCTTAATATCATAAGCAAAAGGCCTCCCTTTCGTAATTCCACGCCACTACTCCTAGTTATGGCCCTTTGTACTATACTGAGCTATGGGAGAAGGTGAGAGGAAGTCTGGCTTTAAACGCTGTGCTTCATGTGCATGTTTGGAGGGTTCCCCATGACATTTGTGTTCTGCCTAGAGAATGCCGTTCTCGGAACAGGCTTTCTCAAACAGTGAGGCCTCCTACTGGGGGTGCAGGGAAGAGTTTCTGAAAGGAGCCTGAAAATCTTGTAAATTTAGAGGAGGAAGCAAGAAAATGCAGATCTGTGTGTGGCCTTTTCTTTTACATCGCCCCCAAGGAGCTTGTTCCACCTCCAACCACATTCTCTCCTATGCACCCATCAAAGGCTGTTAGGAATTCCGTCCTCTGCAGTGATTCCTCCTGGCCACAGGCTGGCACTGTCATGAAGGCCAGGGAAACTGTCTCCGTCCTCAATGCTACCCGGGGTGGAGGCAGCTGCTGTTTCAGGGGTAGCTCCATGGCACTGAGGCTCCCTTTGAGCCCCTATCCCCTTGGCCCATTCCCTTTGGAGTCCTTAAACATTGTCTCCCACCCAGGTTTCCCCATGAGCCCTCCTTCCCCCCAGTGAGACTTGCCGGTCACTCTCCCGTCACCCCGTGGGAGACGCAGTCTTTCCCCAGCCCTGTAGGTGCTGCACAGAAACCACCTCCTGCAGCGCCGGCCTGAAGTGCCCCAAAACCAAGAGCCAGGCCTTGAACTCAAAAGTTAGGGAATGCCAGAGTTAAGGCAACATGGGCAACCTCAGTCTGGCCCCCTTGTGTACATGCATTGGGGTGCAGTCTGTAATTACATGCTATTTGTCCCACAGGACGCCTGCCTCCTCTAGGACTTTTCAACCTTTCTTTCTGAGGCCCCCCCCCCCCCCCCCCCCAAACATGCTATAAAAACTGTATGGCCCAGCAGTGTCACAATAACTGGTTTTCTGCATATAAAAGCCAGGGCTGGCGTTACGGGGTAGCAAGCAGGGCAATTGCCTGGGGCCCCTGCAAAGCTACATTGCTCAGGCTTTGGTTTCAGCTCCGGGTGGTGTGGGGCTTAAGGCCTGCACTTCAACCCCATGCGGCGGGCTTCAGCTTTCTGCCCTGGGCCCTAGAAAGTCTAATGCTGGCCCTGTTGGCGTCCCCCCAAAACCTGCTCGCAGCCCTCCAGGGGGCTTCTGACCCCCAGTTAAGAACCGCTGCTCTAGTGGACAGGATGGATGCATGTGGAGTCTGGATTAAGGGGGCCTGGGCAATTGTAAATCTGGCATTCCCTAAACGTTGGGTACTTGGGTTTACAGCCTTAAGAGTTTTCATGTTTGTGACGTGAGTCCTGTAGCCTGGAGTTTAGAGTGGAGGGCGCTTGCTGTTACCGTTTATTGGCGAGCAGTGGAACGTGGCCCAGAGCTGCTTGAGAACGCCAGATGGGCAGAAACTCTGTAGGGGAAAGAGCTCTCTGCTGCCATCTACTGGTGATCAGGGAGAAGAGACCATTAGCCAGGCCTCATTTGCAT